GCAACATCTTTCTTGTAGTGAGGGGCCCAAAACTGAACACAGCATTCGAGGTGCAGCCTCACCAGCACTGAGTACAGGGGCACGATCACTTCCCTGCTCCTGCTGGCCACACCACTCCTGATACAAGCCAGGATGCCCTTGGCCTTCTTGGCCACCTGGGCACCCTGCTGGCTCATATTCAGCCCCCTGTCAACCAGTACCCCCAGGTCTTTTTCCACCAGGCAGCTTTCCAGCATGGAAAACCAGACACAGAATTCTGGAAACCCAGAAAAACCTGACACGGAACAGAAAAGATGCGTTCATCTGCTCAGGAGCGAGAGCGCAGGGAGCCCTATCCAAGTCGGGTCCGTCACTTAACGCACTGCGCTGGGAAATTTGTAAAGAAAGGGTTTGGTGGGCGTAGCGATAACCGATTCTGCCTTGCTCAGCAGAGTGGGGAGGGCTGTTGTCAGCAGCCTGAAGCACCCCAGAGCCAAGAACCTCAAATCTGCTTGGCCACGCACATTCCCGAGCGTGCCAAGTCCGGAGCAGTGCAGGAGCCCTTGCAGAAGGGGTCCATCTAACGGCCTCTCTAGAAGTGCAAGGGGTGCAAAATGGTGGTTGGTTGGGGTTTTTTTTTCCCCCCCCTGAGGTGCCAGGTAGCTCTCCTACAAATGCACAGGGGGGAGATGTCAGCCTTTTCTGAAAGTGGAAGAGTTTTCTGTGCAGAGGGAGGGAAGAAACCCTGCCCTTTGCCACGGGGTGCAGGACCTAGGCTTGAGCTGCGTCGGGAGCAGTGGTTGCCTGACATGTGAAACTGGAAAGCGTGAAGTGTTAGAGCTGAAATCTGCTGCCTGGAGAGGGTGGGGGGGTCTCACTTGGGTTTGGGGGAGACTCAGCGGATCGTTAAGGACTTGGCCTCTTGGGTCCAACAGAGCTGATACCGCCTTGGGGCGGCAGCACGGTCTTATGTGCATGAGGCAAATTAATACCTTGAAATCAAGACGCAATCCTGTGGCAACTGAACTTTTAATCGAAGGGTGCTCGGTCCTTTTGGTGCTTGGGGCTCAGATACCCGTGGAAAACGCCACACAGGAGCTGATGATGAAAGGGGAGAGAGGTAGAGGGAGCATCTCGAAAGCTGCATTTGCTGTGGTCTCTGGAGCGTATCGGGTGGGGAGAGCGGTCTCCTCCGTTCACCTGCTCCAGCCAACCAGCAAGTTACTGGGCTGAGGTCGGAGGGAGCGGGGCGAAAGGCGATGGCCGGTGAGATCCAGGGGGTTAGAAAAGCTTAATAATAGGCGCTATGACTGTACGAAATCAAGAAACAAAAACCCCCGTTCCCCAGCCAGGCTTGCAGTTGCGTGTTGAAACAGTTCTGTGTGTTCTGCGTGGCGCGGTCGGCCCGGAGCCGGGGTCCCCTAACGCCGTGTGCTCTCGGTGACTGCAGGTGGAGTACTACAACCATCACACGGCCACTTGGCACCCGGTCGCCAGCATGCTCAACAAGCGCTGCCGCCACGGAGCCGCCTCGCTGGGCAGCAAAATGTTCGTCTGCGGAGGTTACGACGGCTCGGGCTTCCTCAGCATCGCCGAAGTCTACAGCTCCATGGCGGATCAGTGGTACCTGATCGTCCCCATGAACACCCGGAGGAGCCGCGTCTCCCTCGTTGCGAACTGTGGCCGTCTCTACGCGGTGGGGGGTTACGACGGACAGTCCAACCTCAGCTCCGTAGAAATGTATGACCCGGAGACAAACCGCTGGACGTTCATGGCCCCCATGGTGTGCCACGAGGGAGGGGGGGGGTTGTGACGTGAGATGCGTTTCCAGGTGCTCAAGTGTCGTTCACAAACACGCACACACACGCACACACACACATAAAACTTGACCAAACACTCCCCACCCTTGGCTTTTTGGGCTGAGGCTCCCGGAAGATCAAACCCTTTTGAACGATGCTGCGTCGACGTGCTGGGGCGAGCAAGGACCTGCCCGCCTCCCTCCGCCACCCCTTGGCCTTCCCTCGCGGTGGCGGCAGCTGAGCAAATCCTTCCTCTCGCCGTTGGTTTTCCAAACAGCCCTGCGGTCCGCTGGGAAGCGCTGTTGTAGGGCGAGGGAGGAGGACAGGCTTCGTTGCGACATCAAAACGGCCGCTTTAATGACTTTGAAAATAACATCCGCGCCTTCTGTCAGCAGCAAAAGTGCTCCCAAACCCCAAGGGGTTCGGTCCGCAGCCATGGTTTTGGGTGTCGTGGCAGCCTGCTGCTGGGCATGGCTGCGTCTCACCTCGCGTGGGGGGGGGGGGGGGAAAAAAGAACCCCCCAGCATCGGTTCCCGGACCTCATCCAGGCTCTGCGTCGTTAAGGTGCTTCTTACACAAGGCATCGCTGGCTTCTCGAAGCGGAGCTGGGCTTTCTTCAGCTCGATGGGGAAAACTTCTCCACAAGAGCCGCACGATGGAGAAACTAGGAAGAGGAAAACCTGGTCGGTTAAACCATCGAAGGGTTTTGGCAAGCTTTGGAGGAGAAGGCTGAGCGTAAATGACACTAAGCAACAGTCTCAGGATTTCAAAACAGGGAAATAGGCCAAGGTGTTCATTGTACAGATGTCCCTTAAATTAAATATTGATGTCTTTTCAAAGTCGATGGTTAAGAGGCAGCTGGAGCAGCAAGGGGCCAGGATTTTTTCAGGAGGGGCAAGAAAAATCCACGGTGGATTTGCCAGCTCTGGAAGCCCACCCCTGTGCCGGCTGGGGGAGCTGCCGTCCCCGGTGGGGAGAGGCTCAGCCTCCGGGCAGCGCAGGCGGAGAAATCCCGCATGGGGACGTGGGATGAGCCTCCCTGCAAAGCGCCAGGGGAAAATCACGTGTCGGCAGAGCTGGCATCGGCGTTTTCTGGTTTGCTACGCCGGGAAAGGTCTTGGCGGTGGGTTTTGTGCCAGGAAACTTTCCGTGACCGGCCCGAAGCAGCTCCCTGCCTGGAATTTATTTGCCTGCAGCGGCTCTTCAGCACTTCTCTTGCATGAACGTGAATTGCCATGGCTCTCGTCCGCGTCCTCCCGTGCCACCCT